TACTACAGCGACATCATAGAAAAGAACATAAAAGATAACAGAAGAACGTGGTCGATTATTAAGAACATTATCAGCACAAATAAAATCACCAATACCGTCACATCAAACAGTGAAATTGTTCGTTCTCCTGCGGACGCCTTAAACGATTATTTCACCGGTATAGCTATAAAACTAGGTTCATCTTTCAACAATTCAACACTCTGGAAAAATTACCTCACTAATAAACTTCAAAACTCGTTCTTCTGTCTGTCGACCTCAAGCGATGAAATAATTGCAACAACCAGACTTCTCAAACCAAAAACAACCAGTGGATGGGATGGCATTCCTATGAAAATAATAAAATCTACGGTGGTGCACGATGATAATATTTTTATGAACAGTTAGTAACACCGTAAATATAATATACTCCAATTAGAGAATCTGAAGTTTTTTATGGTACTCGATAATTTAATTTTTACGAACAACTAGTAACACCGTAAATTTAAAATATAACATTTAGAGATTCTGAAGTTTTTTGTTTGATGACTGTGCTCGATGATTTTGTTTTTGTGATCAATTAGTAACATCTGAAGGTTAACATATTTCATTTAGAGATTCTGAAGTTTTTGGTTTGGGTGGCTGTGCTCGATGAGTTTTATACTAACTCCTCACAGTCAACCTGCACCTTATTTTCTTTATTGAGGTCAAATAAATTATTTCGTTTCGTTTCGTTTCGTATGTATGTATGTATTTATGTATGTATGTATGTATGTTAAAACCAAATCATTGACGAATGACACCAAAAGCCAAGCGTCTGACTAAATTTGATTTTATTTGCTATAACGTCACTCAACCCCGTCGACATTCAACTCCACATTTTCCAACACACAGACGCGCAAAAACCGCTGCAGAATGCACGAGATATTATTCATAGCAAAAAAATATTCCCTACTATCGCCTGACCTGATACTGATATTTTTACAAATCCGATTGAAAAACCCGGAGGTGTTACGGTCCATGGGGCCGAGGATCTCGATACAAATCGGTAAAAACTCCATCGAGGGGAGAGCTCCGTCGTACTTTTTGATCTTCTCGTCAGATGCCCTGGTTGCAGCCAAACCGCTTTTTTTTGCTAGTAAGCTGCACGTAGCGCTCAGCAAAGATGCCCGGAACGGTAACGTCCCACGCCAAGCACCTGCCGGCTCTCCAAGGGATCAAGGTACACCCGTCAGGGCGCTTACCGTCGTGCGCCGCAATGCCCGACGGTTCCTTTAAAACCGGAATTGAGGCCTTGGAGAAAAGTTGGCACACAAAATCGTTTATGGCTGAATGTCGCTGCTGGTGACCTCCGCCCAAACGACAAACAAGACCATGATGGCCAAGTTCATCCGTCTCCGCGCTGCACCTGCATGTATATCGACTCTGAACGGCCAACCCCAGACGGAAGCCAATGGCTGTCCTGACCGTTTCGTCGTCCAATCTGGTACCCACCGACGTATTGGGCAAAGATCTCAGCCAGCCGCAACTCGCCTCGCTGGAAACTGCCAGCAAGCGAGCTGAGGTCGCCGAGTCAGGGCTTGAGGAAAGCAACTCTTTGAATGTGCGTTTATATGCTTCCTCCAAAATGTTGCCCTGGAAAAGGTCTATTGGTTGGATTGGAGTCGGTGGAGTACAGTGCAGGCTACTAAATTGCCGAAGAAGGGCAGACTGTAGGTCAAGCGTGGCAGATGCGGAAGATTTATAAACAATTGGTGCAAGCTGAACCACGCTTAGTAACCCCAGTCCCCCAAATCGTACCGGCAGCTGAGCCTGAGACCAACCCTTGTCGGTAATATCGACGTTACATATTGCTGAGAGGGCTACCCGCAGAGCACCCTCAAATTCGCCCAAAATGGCCGCATTAACAAAGTTGGATGTGCGCAAAAAATACATCAATTTCGGCAAACTGAGGGCGCCGCGGATGATTGTCAGCGCGTCGTGGACCGGGAGAAGAGAGACACGTTTGAGGGCAAATCTTAGCTCAAAAAGTTTTTTATTAAAAACCTGTCCTGATGATCGCCGGCCATCATTGGAGTGCCTAAAAAATTTAATGATGAATGAGGCACTGTGGGGACATTAGCCAGCACGTGTGGCATTTGAAACGTGTCATTTACAAGTAGTTCACACTTGTTTGTGTTTAATTCAAGACCAATGATGGAAGCGCCGACCCTCAGCGACAGGAAGTCGTCCGCTAAGATGTTGCGCTCTGCGGCCAAGCTGACATCGTCCAGGTAGCCACAAACAAACGCCGAGGATGACTTCGTCAACAGCAGGTGAAGGGTTAGAGCAAAAAGCATCGGTCCCAAAGGGTCGCCTTGCTGTACGCCCTCGCACGGTTCAACCACCCAGGCGTCGTAACCGAGAGAAGAGACTCGGCCATATGCGGAATGACAAAAATTATAAATTTGAGGACAGTGCTGCTTAACTGCCTCTAACATTGAGTCTCTTCTCAGGGTGTTGAAAGCGTTCTTGAAATCAATCTTCAAGAATCCCAAATGTTTTGGAAGTGCTGAAATCAGTTCACGTACGGCGTGGACGGCCGCCTCAGCACCACCTTTCACGCCGACGCCCAATTGGATAGGATAGAGTTTGGCTTTGACCTGTTCCAACACTAGCGCCAGAGCGCACTTACTGGCCAGCCTCCTCTAGAAATTCCCCACCGCGATGGGTCTGATCCCTCCATCTTTTTTGTTTAAAGCCACCAGACGGCCCCCAAAAAAGAAACGGCTAACCGCGGGAGGGCAGACCCCAGATAACAACAAATTTACAAGCCGGGTGAGGTTATTTAACAATTCATCGGTGGGCGTCGGACCGGAAAGTAAATCCTTTATGTGCTGAGGCCTCAAGCCATCAAGGCCTCCCGATGAACCATTATTAAACGACTTTAAAGCCGTCAACACCTGGGCTGGTGAAACGCGACCATTAGACGGCTCCTGCGCGGGGAAAGCTCGCCTGTTTAATGGAGCACTGGGATGAATAGCTTTGAGTTTAGCGAGTGTCTCAGGCGAGCTCTCCGCCAAGCCTGCGGGCGAACAAGCAAGTCTGACGGCCGCCGAGAGACTGCCCTGTTCAATCCGAGTGATTACTGCACTAATCCAACTGTTTGGATTGTGCCTACGCGGTTTGGTGTTGTGGTCAGTGTTGAAGCTTGACCTCGGTCGAACTGAATTCGGCCAACCGTTTAATAACGTAATTGGCTTGATTAGTCCTGCGACCGCCCCTGGTTGGCTTGAACAAAACAAATGCAAAAAAACATTGGAGCCTGCACCAATGGGCCGCGTCGCAGGGATGTATGTATGTATGTATGTATGTATGTATGTATGTATGTATGTATGTATGTATGTATGTATGTATGTATGTATGTATGTATGTATGTATGTATGTATGTATGTATGTTTGTATGTATGTATGTATGTATGTATGTATGTATGTATGTATGTATGTATGTATGTATGTATGTATGTATGTATGTATGTATGTATGTATGTATGTATGTATGTATGTATGTATGTATGTTAAAACCAAAACATGATGAGTGACACTGAACCGTCAAACATCAAGTAACAAATGGATTAACACTTTGATTTGTCGTTAATTGCACATGTCGGCATTCAGTTGGATATTTTCAAGCACACAGACACGCAGGAACCGCTGCAACAAGCACGAAATGTGGTTGGTTGCAAAAAACAGTTCCCTGCTGTCACCTGATCTGACACTGATCCTTTTGCCTATTTCCTTAAGAAATTTAAGGGTGTTGGGGTCCATCGGGCCGAGAACCTCGATGCATATTGGCAAGAATTCCATCGAGGGGAGGGCATTCCCATATTTTTTCATTTTCTCGTCCGCTGCCCTGGCCGCGGCCAAACCGCATTCTTTACTTGTCAGGTTTACGTATCGTTCGGCGAGGGTGCCAGGGACCGTAACATCCCACGCCAAACATCTGCCGGCTCTCCAAGGTATTAGCGTGCATCCGTCCGGTCGCCTACCATCATGCGCAGAAATGCCGGATGGTTCCTTGAGAACCGGGATTGAAGCCTTGGAGAAGAGCCGACAAATGTAGTCGTTTAGCGCTGAGTGACGTAGTTGACGGCCCCTACCCAGGCGACAAACCAAACCGTGGTGCCCAAACTCGTCCGCCTCAGCGCCGCATCGGCACGTGTATTTATTTTGAATGACCAGGCCAAGTCTGAAGCCAATGGCAAATCTTACAGACTCGTCGTCAAGCCTGGTGCCCACAGAGGTGTTAGGCCACGATCTCAACCACCCACAGCTGGCAACGCTGGACATGGCCAACAAACGAGCGGTGAAAAAGTCGTCGCCGCATGAAGACAACAAATTTTGAAAGATTTTTTTATATTCTTCGTTCAAAATTTGGACGTGCGTACAGTCCCCCGGGGCGGACGCTGGGGGAAGAATATCGCGGCAACGAAAAAACCGGTGGAGCAGGGAAGACTGTAGGTCAAGAGTGGCAGCGGCAGAAGAATTATAAACAACGGGAGCCAGCTGAACCACGCTAAGCAACCCCAGCCCACCAAATCGCACCGGCAGCTGAGCCTGGGACCAACCACTGTCGGTCACTTGAACATTGCAAATCGACGACAGGGCGGTGCGCAGGGCTCCGTCAAATTCGCCCAATTTAGAAGGGTCAATGTGTTTAGATGTACGCAGGAAGTACATCAATTTGGGCAAACTGAGGGCATTGCGGATAATAGTCAAGGCATCATGGGCCGAAAGACAGGAAACACGACCCAGGGCGAATTCAAGCTCAGAGAGCTTTTGGTCAAAAAACTTTATTTGATAATCGCCCTCGACCAAGGGTGTGCCTAAAAAACTCAGTTCTGATGCACCAACTCTGGGTATTTCAGCCAGCGCATGTGGCACCTGAAATAAACTTTGGCAGTGAAGTTCGCATTTTTTAATGTTTAACTCTATGCCAATTGCAGCGGAGTTATGCTTCAAATATTCGTAGCCATCGGCCAGAGTTGGACCGTCCGAAGCTATGCTGATATCATCCAGATAAGCGCAAACGAAGGTGGACGAAGCTTTCTCTAAAAGTGGATGAAGAGTTAGTGCGAACAACAAAGGACCAAGGGGATCACCCTGCTGTACCCCCTCGGACGATTCTACAACCCAAGAGTGGTAGCCAAGGGAAGAGACTCCGCCATAAGCAGAATGGCAAAAATTATAGATGTTGGGGCAAAAAAGTTTGACAGCCTCCAACATCGAGTCTCTTCTCAAGGCATTGAAGGCATTTTTAAAGTCCAGTTTCAGAAACCCCCATTGATCGGGGAGGTCGGTGACCAATCTTCGAACCGCATGAACAGCGGCCTCAGCGCCACCCTTAATCCCGACACCCAACTGAGTCGGGTAGAACTTGGTCTTGAGTTCGACCACGACCAGGGCCAAGGCACATTTGCCGGCCAACCTCCTCCAAACGTTCCCAACCGCAATCGGTCTGACCCCTCCGTCTTTCTTATTTAAAGCTATTAGCCGGCCTCCAAAAAAGAACCGGCGGACGGAGAGTGGGCAAGCTCCAGATAGGATCAAATTAATGAATTGGGTTAAGGAGTTCAGTGTGTCGTCAATTGGCAAGGGGCCTGAAAAAACATCCTTAAGGTGATGGGGTCGTAGGCCATCCAGGCCTCCAGAAGAACCGTTTTTGAAAGATTTAACGGCCCTCAGCACCTCGGCGGGAGAAACGCAACCAGCCGTTGGTGTCAATGCGGGAAAGACCCGCCTGTCCACCGGAATTTTGGGTGGATAGAACATAATTTATCGAAGGTGGCCGGCGAGCTCTCCGCCAGGCCCTCCGGCGAGCAGACAAGTCTGACCGCCGAGGACAGGTTTCCCTGTTCAATACAAGATGACACAGCGTTGATCCATCGATCGGGGTTGTGCATTTGTGATTTGGCATTATTGAACCCATCAAAGCACAGTACCAGGGTTTCAAGACCAATAGTTGAATATTCGCTTAGACGCTTGTTGACCAGATTGCCCTGGTTGACCCGGCGACCTCCTCTGGAAGTCTTCTGTAAGACGTATGGGACAAAACAGTGGAGTCTAACCCAGTGAGCCGGGTCACCAGGGTCGTTACAAACAGCCGTCAGCAAGGCGTTCAGATCATGTGCGAACTTCTCCCTGCATGGCTTAGGGATATGGTCGTACACCGGTACACATTTCAGCACGGCCGTCAGCTTATCAAAAACACCAGAGTAATCCAGGCCGAGAGGATCACCGGAGACCGATGCGGCGGACGACCGTGTGGGCAGCCCAGGCCTGGGGTCGGGTGCGGCACCGAGAGGCGAAGCAGCCCTCGCGCCCGATGGATCAACTTTTTTCCGGGACCCCGAGCATTCCTGTCCTTTCACTTTACCTCCGTGCCGACATAACTTCCCGTCTGGAGTGCTTCTATAGTGGTTAAAGCAGACGGGGCACTGTTGTAACGTTGGAGCCATATGTGATTAAAAACAACCAAGAAACGAGGGAAAGGAAACAAACCAAGTGGGGTGGATGGATGAATGAATGGATGAACAAGCGAATGACCAAAGGAACGGGCCAGCGAACAAACGGATGAATGAGTGAATGATGGGGGAATGAATGAGCTAATTACTGAACGGACGAGTGAGGGAAAAAAAGAATGAATGAATGAGTGAATAAATAAATGAATGAATAAACAACCGAACGAATGGATGAATGAATGAATACATGAATGAGTGACGGAATGAATGAACGAGCGAACGGATGAATGACTGAATTATCTTTAAATATTTAACCAGTGTTTCAACTTTTATTTATATAATTTTTTTTTTCTTTTCTTTTTTTTTATTGATGAATGAATGAGTGAGCAAATGAGTGTATGAGTGAATACAAAAACTTAGGTAACAGTGTGGGAGGAGACACTATTGCAGCAAACTTTGGCCCAATCTCTCCCTTATAGTTTATTTTTTTTTATTTTTACACAGATTTTAAAAATTGGTTTAGGAAATTTCTTTTTTTATAAATAAATTTTAATTTAAACTTTAAATTTTAATTTGAAAAGTAAATTAAAAATAAATGCCGGTAGAAGGTAAATAAGTTAAAATGTAGTGAACTTTCCAATAATAATAAAAACAGCTCACACCTGGCGCAGGCCGGTGACCTGTAGCAGCTATGAGCTGTGAATAAATTATAATATTGATAAAAAAAAACAAAAAACGAGAAAATTGGCCGAGGCAGGGCAGAAAAACGATAAAAAATGACGGAAAAACAAACCCGGGACAAAATTACAGCCGATGACCCTAAAAACCATCCATAAAAACAATCTAAAATCTATGAATTTAGCAAAAATAATCAGGAAATTAAAACAATCCAGCCGGCCTTGAATGTGAACAAACGAATGTCTGTATATGTATGTATGTATGTATGTATGTATGTATGTATGTATGTATGTATGTTTAATTTAATTTAATTGTTTAACCTAATTTAAATGAAGGTTTATGTAATGCCGATTGGACAAGTGTGCTGAGCTGCGATGATGTAGATGTGGCCTTCCAAAATTTCATCGACATCTTTCGGTTACATTATAAAACTTATTGTTCAGTGACCTCTAAAAGACAGGCTCAGAAGATGACAAAAAACAAATCGTGGATAACTAAAGAATTTAAAAAAATGTTAAAAAGGAAGAAAATGTTATATAAAAAATATCTAAAGCACACATCGTCAGACAACTTTACAGCACTCAAATCATGCAGCTAATTATGCAACAAGATCAAGTGCCAGTTGAAAAGACAATATTATTCTAATCTTCTACAACAAAGCAATGGCGACAGCAAGAAAACATGGTCAATCATCAATTCTTTAACGAAACGAAATAACAAAAAAAACATCAACAATTCAATTAACTTTAAATGATGATCCAATTGATAATCCTGAAACTATCCTCAATAATTATTTCATCAATCTGGCCTCAGATATGCAGCAATCATTTGTAGAAGACACAAGATGGAAAAATTATTTTCAAAATTGGTCAGTAAATTAATTTTTTGTAACCGTGTTTCATTATCTGAAATCATTTCAACCACAAAACTTTTCAAACCCAAGACGTCGAGTGGTTACGATGAAATATCAACCAAAATAGTAATATCAACAATTAAATCAACAGCAACAATTCTTGAATATTTAATCAACTTATCATTTGACAAGGGCATCTTTCCTAAGTGCTTCAAGACATCCAAAGTTGTTCCAATTGCAAAAGAAAGAGGTAACTCAGAGGTTAAAAACTTTCGACCTATATCTTTGTTGCCTGTTTTTTCGAAGATTATTGAAAAATTGATGCACAGTCGTTTGCTCAAATTTTTGAAAAAAATAACATTCTTTCTAACCATCAATTTGGTTTTCGAAAAAACCACTCAACTGAAATGGCAATACTGGAACTGATTCAAAAAATTGGAGTCGCAAGTGAAAAGAAAAATTATGTAATTGGAATATGTCTCGATCTGTCAAAAGCTTTTGATTGTATTGACCATTCGATTTTATTACACAAACTTCATCACTATGGTATAAGAGACTCCAGTTTGACTTGGTTTCGA